CGAGTGATGAGCGTCCAGTGTAGGCTCCATGAGAGCAGCTCAACTTCAGTAATTTAGGAACAAGAACTAAAAGTATCAACTGTCAGCAAGCACATGTAACAATCCCACTTCCTTTAAGATGAATTGGGGCATCAAAACTCTCTGAACTGAGTAATTTCATTCTGCTGTCATGTTAGTTTTGAGAAGCTGCAGGCTTGTCACTTACATGGTATTTGGTTCTTGGAGCAAAAGAGCAAAGAGAGATCCAGAAAGGCTAAATGAACTTAATGAATTCGTATTACCTGCTCCTGTTTTAGAAATAAGAATGTTCCCTCTTGTTTGGCTGTCAAATTTAGAGTGCAGTAGAAAAGTTGAACACATGGTGTTTTATATCCCAACAGTGCCCAGTTGTCTAGAAACCACTTAGATTCCCACTGATCCTCTCTGTGCTCACAGATAGTAACCCCCTTCCCTCTACTTTCCTAGGATTAATAACCTCTTAATAGATGGTCATTTTTCATCCCTGGTTTCTGACACAACTCTGATACCAGCTTTTTTAATCCTCGCGTGTCTTTAAACTCTTCTTCCTAGTGCCAGCAGGTCAGCTCATTCTAAACCTATTCAGAGATGTAGCTTTATGTAACCATCACTGTTGCATGGTGCCTGAAATATTACAGAAAGAATCAAACAGAAAATCCCTTGGTGACTGGAAAATAAAAAAATAAGGTTTAAGTGCAGGTTGTAATTTTTTTAGAGGGGTGCATTTTATTGACTTCTGTATTATTTCTTTTTTAATATATTTTATTGATTATGCTATTACAGTTGTCCCATTTCCCCCCTTCACTTCCCTCCACCCTGCACTCCCCCTCCCACCCACATTCCCCCCCTTTAGTTTATGTCCATGTGTCATACTTATAAGTTCTTTAGCTTCTACATTTCTCATACTATTCTTACCCTCCCCGTCTTATTTTCTGCCTACCATCATCTATGCTACTTATTCTCTGTACCTTTTCCCTCTTTCTCCCCCTCCCGCTCCCCTGTTGTTAACCCTCCATGTGATCTCCATTTCCGTGGGTCTGTTTCTGCTCTAGTTGTTTGATTAGTTTGCTTTTGTTTTTGTTTTAGGTGTGGTTAATTATTGTGAGTTTGCTGTCATTCCACTGTACATGTTTTTTATCTTCCTTTTTCTAGATAAGTCCCTTTACTATTTCATATAATAAGGGCTTGGTGATGATGAACTCCTTTAACTTGACTTTATCTGAGAAGCACTTTATCTACCCTTCCATTCTAAATGAAAGCTTTGCTGGATAGAGCAATCTGGGATGTAGGTCCTTGTCTTTCATGACTTGGAATACTTCTTTCCAGCCCCTTCTTGCCTGCAAGGTCTCTTGAGAAATCAGCTGACAGTCTCATGGGAACTCCTTTGTAAGTTACTGTCCCCTTATCTCCTGCTGCTTCTAGGGTTCTCTCCTTCATTTTTACCTTGGCTAATGTAATTATGATGTGCCTTGGTGTGTTCCTCCTTGGGTCCAGCTTGTCTATTTCCTTTGTCAGATTCTCCTTTATTATTTGTTCACGTATCTTTTCCACTTGTTGCTCTTCCTCTTCTCCTTCTGGTACCCCTATAATTCAGATGTTGGAACACTTAAAGATGTCCTGGAGGTTCCTAAGCCTCTCCTCATTTTTTTGAATTCTTGTTTCTTCATTCTTTTCTGATTGGATGTTTCTTCCTTCCTTCTGGTCCACTCGACTGATTTGAGTCCCAGTTTCCTGCCCATCATTATTGACTTCCTGCACATTTTCCTTTATTTCACTTAGCAGAGCCTTCATTTTTTCACCTAATTTGCAATCAAATTCAACCAATTCTGTGAGGATCCTGATTACCAGTGTTTTGAACTGTGCATCTGATAGGTTGGCTACCTCTTCGTCACTTAGTTGTTTTTTTTCTGGAGCTTTGATCTGTTCTTTTGTTTGGGCCGTGGCCATTTTTTTTTTTTCTGGCCTGTAAGGAAGCGGTGAGGGGCGTAGCCTTAGGTGTTCACCAGGGTGGGGCAACCCAGTCGCAGGGTTGTGATGCTGTTTGTGGGGCAGGGGTTCCAGGCGGAACAAAGGCACTTGCTCCACTCTCTGCTGGATTTCAGTTACTTCTCCCGCTTCCCACAAGCAAGTTGGGCCCTTCTGGTGCTGAGTCCTGTGTGGGTGTGTTACAGAACAGACCGGAGTGGGTGGCACTGAACAATATAAAAGACCCCCTTTTTTTCCGGGGATTCCTTCACACCTGCTGGGTTCCTGTTGCCCGCTGCCTGAGGAAATACGTCACTTAATACCAGAGATCAGTGAAAAGGAAAGGAATTTATTATTTATTTGAAATAATATAAACTAAAGTTCCCCACAAGTGCACACAGTCCTCCTGGTACCCTCCACGTGGCAAATGGGAGCACTTCCAAAGCCGCGTGGTTCTAAACAGACCTGTGATCCCAAAAAGAGAGACGCCCAAGGGCTGCCGCGTCCCCATTTAAATCCCAGCACCAGTCTCCTTCTGCAGCCTCATTTCTGGCTCCTGCCACAGTTGGCCACAGCTGCCGGCTTTCCGGCAGGTGTAGCCCTGAGGTGTGCAGCCAATTATTTCCAAGCTCTTCTGGACCCTATTACAAATCCCTATTTGGGGCTCCCCTCTTGGCTGCACCCTTTACAGGTGGGTTTGTGCATGTTCTAGGACCCCGTGTGTCTCTCCAACGAACTCTTCTGTGAGGCTGGGAGTTTCTGCCACTGCTGCCTCAACCCCCACAGGTGTTTTTAATTGGTGGTTTGGAGTTTTATTTCCCGGCGCCGGGGCCCTGGGTTGCGTGGTCTGTCTCGCTCCCCAGTTTTGCCTGGTTGTCTGCACATGAACGTGGGACCGCCCATCTGACAGCTACCCTGAGTGCCGTGCCCCTCCACAACCCACCACTTTGCTGGGTCCACCAGCCTCTGCTAGCTGCTTCCTTGGACACTCAGGTGCCTTGGCCACCGATTTGCCATGTCCTCCCCCCACCCTTCCCCCTGCCCCCCCCACCCCGCCGGACTCCGCCCCTCTTACTGGTCTGGATGAATGTGTCTACTTTAACTCCTTGGTTGTCAGACTTATATACAGTTCAGTTTTCTGTCGGTTCTGGTTTTGTGTTTTTAAATTACTGTCCTTATTTTGGTTGTGGAAGGATGCACAGCATGTCTATCTACGCCTCCATCTTGGCTGGAGGTAAGAGTAGGTTGTAGTTGATGACAAATGTATTATTTTTGTTTAAACGTGATTGTACAACTCCTCCACCCCTCCACTCTTCAGCTAACTCTCAGGGAAAAAAGATTGCTCACCATGAAACTACTTCAGTGTGAACTAGGAAATGCATATACTTGCACCTCATTTTTTAACTCAGCATTGTAAACATTCATGACTTCAGGGGCGTTGTTTGTAACAAAATTTACTTTTTGGACTGATTGTGTAAAGACCTCTTTAAGTGCTGTTACTGTTTTTTTGCTGCCAAAACTTTGGATAATTGTTATCATGTGTTAGACCACCTCTTTAGTTTAGCTTCAAGCAGCATACCTGCCCGTTGTTTGCTGAAGCTTCTTGTTCATAGTATAATGTGATGTCTTTAATAAAGAGTTTTGTTATAAGGAATAACTTCATAAATATTTCAGAACTGGCTTTTTCATAAGGCACTTTACTGTAGCACTAGTTTTCATGTCCTACAGATGATTTAAATATATTTAAAGTAATGTTTGCATTCATCATTAGTTGATTTGATCTCTGTGATAAAACATTTGAAATTTTGTTCTTGCATCACCCAGTCTTCATGGTCTGTTTTATTAATTCTTTATTGGAAAGTACTTTCCAACTTGATAACATTTTGAAAATCAATTAGATACCAAAGACTTTACAAAGTTTTTAAAAAATGTATTTTAAGCATCAGTTATACTGCATTTTAAGATTTTGGGGGGTGTTTGGAAAGATCTATTGTTTTGATTATTCTAACTATTCAGATTGTTGAAAGTTTTATTGCTTCAAATGCTACTCCAGTCAGAGTTCATAAAGGGTACATTGAGGTACAGGTAAAAAATTTGTTTATAAGCAGAAATCGTTACAAATCAAACCACATAGTGCCTCATTTTTTCCAATCATTTAAAGTTATTTTAAACCATTTACTGTTGTTCAAATGAATATACTAAATATGTCCTCAAAGATAAAATTGTAGTAGTTAATATGAATTAACTTCACTAAGAGATAGAACAATGACCTTTCACCCAAGAGACAATTGAGAATTCATACTCATGGCAACTATGTAGTTGTAGTGTAATTAACCTTGACTCTGGTCTGAATGAATGGCAGAATAGCTTATGCCCTTACTCTCAATTAGGAAACTAGAAAAATACAATATGCATTGATGTTTCAGGAATACTTACTTGGAGTATGTCTTGAGTCAATATGTTTAAAAAAAACGTTCAGCCCTGGCTGGCGTAGCTCACTGGATTGAGTGCGGGCTGCCAACCAAAGTGTCGCAGGTTCGATTCCCAGTCAGGGTACATGCCTGGGTTGCAGGCCATGACCCCCAGCAACCGCACATTGATGTTTTTTTTTTTTTTCTCTATCTCTCTCCCTTCCCTCTCTAAAAATAAATAAATAAAATCTTAAAAAAAAAGTTCAGACTACGTAGAAAATATGTGCAGTAAAATGAAATATTATGGTAAAATAATTTATTTTAGTTTCTTATTTCCATTCTTTAAATTCTTAGTTGATTGGATTCTTTGAGGTAAGAACCAAATTCTTACCTCAGAGATTTTAAAAATGACTACTGGAGTTTCAAGAATGCTAGTGACTGAGCTGAAAAAATAGAAGACATGAAAAATGCCTACTTTTTAAATGTGTTGTCATTTTACTCATATTCTTTTGGGTGCTTTTCAGATGCCTCTCCATCCCTTCACCCTTCCTTGTAGGAAGAGTTTTGTTCTGCTGAGTGATGTTCGCTCTCACTTATTTCCTGTAGCTCCTGAGTATTGGTGCTCCATCGCTTACTTTGAAATGGATGTTCAAGTAGGAGAGACATTTAAGGTTCCTTCAAGCTGCCCTATTGTTACTGTTGATGGATATGTGGACCCTTCTGGAGGAGATCGCTTTTGCTTGGGTCAACTCTCCAATGTCCATAGGACAGAAGCCATTGAGAGAGCAAGGTATTGATTGTATAGTTATTTTAAAAGTTGAACATAGCACACTGTCTTTTATTCAAAGTTATATTTCTCAGTGTAGATTATTTAAGTGTTAGAATAGGGAAAAAACAAAGGTCATCTTGCAAATTCAGAGTCAGTAAGCATTCCACTTGAATTGTAGCTGTTTGCCATTTAAAATATGATAAAAGGCTGTCTTTTTTAAGTTTATTTTTTTATTTACATAGAGTTGGCATACAATCTTATGTTGGCTATATTAGTTTCTAGTTTCAGATGTACAGTACAGTGATTTGACATTTTTATGCCGTACAATGTGATCACCCTAATCTAGAATCAATTATCTGTCACTATGTATGCTTATCACAATGTTATTAACTAAATTCCCCTTCCCCTGTTCACCTGTCCTTCCCACTCCCTCCCTTCTGATAACTATCACTTTGGTCTCTGTTTCTATGAGTCTGGTTTGTTTTGTGTTTTTGGTTCCACGTATAAGTGAAACCACATGGTATTTGTCTTTCTCTGCCTGACTTATTTCGCTTGGCATAATACCCATGTTGTCACAAATGGCAAGATTTTATTTTGTATTAGTGTACATAATATTCCATTGTATATGTATGCCACATCTTGAAGATTTTGTGTGTATTTGTGTGTAAATGAAGTTTCTATGGTTGAATAGTAACAAGACCTTTTGGAATCCAGTTTAAGAACTAATTTTTATTTCCCCTGATCATATATTATTTCTACACATATTTAAAGGAAATAATAACTGAAGACATCTTTCTGCATATGTTATTTATAATGTTGGAAAATAATAAAAGAATGGTTAAGTAAATTTTGATAAACTTTCTTTTTGTCATTAAAACATAGATAAGAAGTTTATATAATCAAATGTAAATGCTTAAGATGAAATATGGGAAAACACAATTTTAGGTACTGTGTAATCTTAGCTCTTTAAGAAAATGTGTGTGTAAATACATCATCTGGGCTCTATCAAAGCTGTGTCTCTGGCAAATTACCTACTCTCTGAGTCAGTGCTAATAGAATTTCCTGTGAGGAAGGAAATGGTTTATATCTGTGTTGTCCAGTACTGTAGCTGCTAGCCACATATAGCTATTGAATACTTAAAATATGGACATGTGATTAACTGAATTTTTAAATTATTTTTAATTAATTTAAATAGCCACTTTTATCTACTATCAGTTTGGACAGTGTACCTATAAGCCTTGGTTTTGTTATTTATAGAATGGAAATAATAATACTTAGCTCATTGAATTGTGAAGGTCAGTAAGAATTTATGGTAAACATTCCTGACACATAGTAAGCACGGGAGGGGACCCAAAAACACCTGGAATTATCTTCTGGAGGGTTGGTCCCTTGTAGTACAGGCTTCACCTGCTAGGTGAGTGTTCTAGGAACCCATCTGTATCACTATAATTAGCTGGTGTTGTTGCAAGAGACCGCATTTGGCTTCAGTGAAATTTTTTTGAGGACTCGAATGTGTTTGTCCATTTCATGACGGGTGATTTACAAGTGCATCTGTGCTGAGTGTTAAGCAGTTGTTGACCAAAAACAGCATGACTCCCATGTCCCACCCTCCTTATTCACCCGATCTCTTCCCAATCAGCTTTTTTTATTTCTCTGGTGGAAAAAAAAATCCTCAAAGGGAAGTGTTTTGCCAATGTGGAAGAGGAAACAAAAAATGGCAGGCGCATGAAAAGGTGTCCAAATCGATGAGTTCAAAGTCTGCTTTGAGCAGTGGAAAAACATCCTGATAGGTGTTATTACATGAAATGGAGAGTGTTCTTTGAAGGTGACTGAAGTTTAAACATGTAAGAATAAATACACAGTTTTTTATAAATTCCAGTGTTTTTGGGTCCTTCCCTCCAATAACCTGAACTACATTTTAAAAAATATCAAAATAAAATATAATTTCCCTTTTTTTCCCTAAGGTTGCACATAGGCAAAGGTGTGCAGTTGGAATGTAAAGGTGAAGGTGATGTTTGGGTCAGGTGCCTTAGTGACCACGCAGTCTTTGTGCAGAGTTACTACTTAGACAGAGAAGCTGGGCGTGCACCTGGAGATGCTGTTCATAAGATCTACCCAAGTGCATATATAAAGGTTAGTGAGAGTTTCACTTAAATGTTTTAGACTTGGAAAACTATTTGTTCTTGAAAGATTTGAGATGGGGGTCGGAAGGGTAGAAAAATGTCTCTGCATTAAATCTCAGAAGTTGTTCATTTATAAAACATACTTCCTTGGGGCATTTGCTGACATGACTAGTTATTTAGTTTTGTGGTCACAAATTCATGTCCAGTTATTTTATTAGCAAGTTTGTTAACTGTTTTAGAGTAACACATAGGTTTTTGAAAATACTGAGTGAACCAACCAAACATTCCTTTGATATTAAATTGTGTAAAATTTTGGAATTCTGTCTTGGCCAATCTTTAGGATTTTATGAAAAGGAATTCTAAAATTAATAGCTTTTTGAATTAAGAACCTATGAAATGAAAAATTCAACACAAGGTTTTATTCAGGTTGGTTATTTTGTGCATTAAATGAGTTGTATTTATTATATTATTTTTCTAATTAAGTCTAAGGTATTTGTATTAATATGCAAATTCAACTCAGAGTATTACACATTCAACTCATTTTAATTTTATGATACTGTTTGAAAGAGAAATATAGTTGTAATTAGATAGTCTAAACATTTTTAATATCAGAGTTTTCACAGTCTTCCTAAACATCTTTGTTATTGGCTATTGTAAATTAGTGGAATAAACTATTTCATACTCACTTATTTCCAGGAAATTGTTTAGCATACAGATAACATAGCCACACAGTGTCTACAAAAATGGAATTACTTGATTGCTTCACAACAGTCTCTCATTTTCAGTCACTACAGGTCAGTTAAAGGATATACGGATCTTGTTAAAGATTTTATTTATTTTATTTTTATAGAGAGGGGAAGGGAGGGAGAATGAAAGGGAGAGAAACATCAGTTGGTTGCCTCTTGTGCCCTGATCGGGGATCAAACTGGCAACCTAGGCGTGTGCCCTGACTGGGAGTTAAGCTGACTGCCTTTCACTTTGTGGGATGATGCCCAAGCAACTGAGCCACATCGTTCAGGGCAGAGATCTTTTTAAAAATGAAACTTTCAAATATATCAAGTCTAAAGAACATAATAAACTCCCATGTATCCATCATCCAGCTTTTAACAATTGTCAGCATTTTAATGTGCTTTAATCTTTTAATGTGTTTCTTTCTCTATTTTTTCCCATAGTAATTAAAGGCAATTCCAAACATTATATTAGTTCACTCATTAAAATATACCAAAGTATGAATCACCAATTTATAAATATTTCTAAAAAGCAATCACAATGTTACTTATCGCACCTAGCAAATTAACAGTAATTCCCTAATAAAGGTTTTGGCAACAGAGGACCATTTATAGTTTTGAGCTGTTGGAACAATCACATAGAATAGAATAGTAAAATATTACATTATATTTATTGGTAGGTTATCATGGTGTGGAAAAAGTTATAAACAATATACAGAATATCCATTTTTGTTAAAGATGTGGGTATTTGTATATCTTTTTATCATTTTTAATTTTCATTTACAACTGACATATGTATTAGTTTCATGTGTACACCCCAGTGATCAGACATTACATAACTTAGTAAGTGATCATCCTGATAAATCTTGCACCCATCTGATACCATACATAGTTATTAGACTGTTACTGACTATATTCTCTACGCTGTACTTCACATCCCAATGACTGTTCTGCAACTGCCAATTTGTACTTCTCAATGTTTTCACTTTTTCCATTCCCCAGTGCCTCTCCCATCTGGCAACTATCAAAACATTCTCTGTACCTATGATTCTATTTCTGTTCTGAATACTTACTTTGTTTTTTTTTTTAATTCAGTTTGTTGATATGTACTTACTGCCATTTTATTGTTCATAGTTTTGATCTTTTTCTTAAATAAGTTCCTTTAACATTTCACATAATAATGGTTTGGTGATGATGAACTTCTTTTATTTTTGTCTGGGAATCTCTTATCTCTCCTTTGATTCTAAATAGTAGCTTTTCTGGATACAGCAGTCTTGGCTGTAGGTCCTTGCTTTCATCACTTTGAGTATTTCTTGCCAGTTCCTTCTGGCCTGCAAAGTTTCTTTTGAGAAATCAGTTGACAGTCTTAATGGGAGTTCCCTAATAGGTAACCAACTGCTTTTCTTTTACTATGTTTTTTTTTTTAAGATTTTATTTACTTTTAGAGAGAGGGGATACAGGAGGGAGAAAGAGAGGGAGAGAAACATCAATGTTTGGTTGCCTCTTGTGCGCCCCACACTGGAGACCTGGCCTGCAACCCAGGCATGCCCTGACTGGGAATCGAACCAGTGACCCTCTGGTTTGCAGGTCATTGCTCAGTCCACTGAGCGACACCAGCCAAGGCTCTTTCACTACTTTTAAGAAAGACTCTGTCTTTGTTTTTTACCTTTGGCATTTCATGATATGTGTTGGTGTGGGCCTCTTTGGGTTCATCTTGATTGGGACTCTCTGGCTTCTTGGATTTGTATGTTTCCTTCACCAGGTTAGGGAAGTTTTCGGTCATTATTTCTTCAATTAGGTTTTTGATTTCTTACTTTCTCTCTTCTTGTTCTGGCACCCCCATGATGTGAATGTTGGTATGCTTGAAGTTTCCTCAGAGGCTGCTTACACTATCCTCATTTCTTTGGATTCTTTTTTCTTGCTGTTCTAATAGGGTGTTTTTTTTCTTCCTTATATTCCAAATTTCTGATTTGATTCTTGGCTTCATCCACTCTACTGCAACTGTTGAGTTCCTGTAAACTATTCTTTATTTTAATTATTATATCCTTCATTTCTGACTGGCTTTTTTTTTTTAATGCTGTTGAAGTTCTAGGTTCAATGAGCATCCTTATAACCAGTGTTTTGAACTCTGCTACTAGTTCTTTTTCTTTCATTTGGGGCATGTTTCTTTGTGTCATCATTTTGGCAGCCACCCTGTGTTTGTTTCTGTGTGTTAGGTAAACCTGCTACATATGTCTTCCAGGCTTAGTAGACTGGCCTAATTTAGTAGGTATTTTGTAGAGTCCAGTGGCACAGCCTCCCTGTCACCCAAGCTGGGTGTACAAGGTGTGCCCATCATGTAGGCTGCATACACCCTCCTCTAGTAGTTCAGCTTTGATTGCTGTTGGCATGTCAATGGGAGGGATTTACCCAGGCCAGTTAGTTTCAATGACTGGTTGTGACTATTGACCACCAACCTCTGGCCACTGTGGAGTGTCAGCTGTGTAGGGGCCCACTCCACAGAGCAGGACTTACTTCAGTGGGGCTCTGTGCCACTGAGTCTGCCCCTTGGGTGTGTCACTTGAGGAGGTGGTTGGGTAGTGGTGCTCACATATGGTCTAAAGCTGTCCACTGGGTGTGCTGGCTCTGGGCCCTCTCAGGAGGTGCAGGTCAGGGTCAGCTACTGCCTGTGTTCTGCCTGGGGCCACCTAGCATAGCAGAGCAATCTGCAGATGGCTGTTACTTGTGCTAGGTTGGAGGTGCCCAGGCATGGCCATACTGTGAAACAAGGCTGGCTGCTGCTAGTGCCAGGCCTGAGGCCACTTAGAAGTACAGAGCTTGCTGAGGCCAGATGCTGCTTGTTTGAGAGAATTTAGGATAATCTGAAGCATGAGCCAAGACAGGCCATTCGTATAGAAAAGCCACTGGAAACAGCCTGGTTGGGCCCAAAAGTTGGGTGGTGTGGGAATCACCAGGGTGGGGCATATAGTGTGAGCCAGGTTGATGGAGTCTTAGATATGGTGCCCGCCTGCCAGTTCTGTGGGGGTAGAGCTCATCAAAGGAACAGTGGCGTCTGCTAGCACTTCTGTCTGGGAGAAAGCTGCTCCCCAGCTCTCTCCCTGAAGCTGATACTTCAGTTCCTCCCATTATGTCTCTGGTGCCTTTCCAGCTGTTGCTGCCCCTGCGCTTGACCTCAGGGAGAGTGAGTTTGAGTAAGTCCTTGCATGGGCCATTTAAGAGGAACTGCCTGGGACTCTAGAAGTTTCTATCTTCCTTAGCCTAAATCCCCACTGGTTTTTACAGCCAGAAATTATGAGGACTTCTGTTTCTTGCACTGTGAGGCTGGGTCCCCTTGCTCCCGAAATATCCTTCCCATTGTTTATCTACCACGTGTGTGTGGAACCACCGTGTTCAGCATCTCTGCCCCTCCTTTCAGTCTGGATGTGATTTCTTCTTTAATTCCATAGTTGTAGGACTTCCATTCAGCTCTGTTACTGGAGGTTCTTAACGGTGGTGGTTCTGGACCTTAGTTGTAATTTTGATGTGGTTGTGTGAGGAGGCAAGTACCATGTGCACCAGAGTCACCATCCTGACCAGAAGTCCTGCATTTTACGCTACACACACGAGTCTGTAATGGTGTGGAATTATAATTTTTGTGTGTGTGTTTTCCAGTTTTTCCATCAGCAATTTTAGTTCTTCGTGCTTTGTAATTATTTTTCAATGATGTTGGATTTTCTCATATACTTTGTAATGTATTTTGTATTTGTTGGCAAGTTTGCCTTGAGAGAATTCATTTTATTTAATTTCTTTTTTTAATCACTGTCATTGTGTCTCCTTAGTCTGGCACCTAGAGATTCACATTTTAGAACCAGTTCTTTTTTTTTTTTTTTTTAAGCATTTACAAAAAGTTTTATTTGATTGCATTTTGGAAGAAACCAGTATATAAAACAAAAACAAAAGCTGTTTTTCCTCAGTGTTTTTTTAAAATTTACATTGTTTTATTGTTGTTCAGTTACAGTTGCCTGTATTTTCTCCCCACTGCTCCCCCACACACCCTCCAAACCCATCCCCCCTCTTGCTTCCACCCTCCCCCTTGGTTTTGTCCATGTGTCCTTTATAGTAGTTCCTGAAAACCCTCCAATTCTTATATTTAGAAGTTAGAGGAGGAATTTTGTCCCTTGAGGAAGTTGGGGTCCAATCCAATATATATTGAGGGCTTAATTCCAGTTGCATAGGTTTTTTTGATTCTTATCTCTACAACAGTCAAGAATTTTATGCCTTGCTACATTTTTGAATTAGCTGT